AATTAGATTCTTCATTACATTAGCAAGTATGTAACAAACGAAATGCACTTATAGGTACACAAATTTAACCGAATGACTGTCTGGAATAATTTTTCGCGAGTAGCTTATTACAGTGTGCCAACAGAGGATTATTAATTCACATCCTGCAATTCACCTCGCTTCCACGTAACGGGCATGTTATGATGGAATTTTCAACAGAAATGATATAGAAACCGCACCTGACCATTCTGATTTATGGGTTTCAGGCAGAAAATGCGTGCGTAACGTTGAATAGACACAAACTTAGCCATTAACGTCAAGTTTAATACATTTTTCCTTATACGTCACGTACAACTAGTTGTATAAAGAATTATGACAACAATATAAGGTTTTGATTCGTTTTCAATTAGTGCTTTCAAGCTCTCCATCACAATTCAATCCATTTTTATTTGGCAAATACACCCTTCGCAATGTAATCATTAAGCAGGAGCTGTTTTTCAAATATATTCTACCCGTGGGTATCCTCAAGGAAAAAGAGAACGTCATAATACGTGATTTGGAAAAAATGCCATTTGCAAATTCAACGTTCACATCTGACAAATGAAAGATTAGAAATTGATATATTGACATCTAGTCTTGGGGCAACCTTTTTCGGTAGGTGTGTGTGAAAGGGCGGGAGGGTGCAAATAATCATAATGCATCTGTACTCCATGACACTCTATTATTCAGTGCATTTATTGTGGCGAGGCATACCTAGTACTTTCAAACAATCGCTTCCTAAATAGAGTAGCCGATTTTTTGTAGCCTTCCGAGGTCCAAATCGTCATCCCATGTGGCGCATTCAAATATTATAATAATTAGTAGGTACTTAAACGGACAAAAATTGTTAAAGTAATAAAAAGTTTCACTTATTGTGAACTTGGCCAAGCTGATTCGGTCCTTGAGGAAAATTAACCTGTTGCATGATAGACGAGGTCTCCCAGGGTACCTACCACAGAATTCCAGGGCCTCCGAACTCCAAGGATTCAGCGTTTCTACTGTTAACGAGGTAACAAGGTATCTATAGTGGATTTATATTTAGTCGTTTTCTTCTTTGCTTTGGATTTTCACAGCTGCTCCCGCGGTCAAGGATGTCGATGTAAGAGGGGCAACATTTCCAGCGATTTCCCTTTAGACTCTTTTGTTAACAAAATCTTTTCCCCCAAGATAAGTTAGCTTTTATATCCAATACATTCATTTTCAGACACGTTCATCTATTTATTAACGTACATACTACATATTACTTAATAGTGAGCAAATCTCTCACTTGCGAGTTTCAAATGTAAAGAGCGAGTAACGCAGGGGGGTTAATAGGACACCCTGTACAGATTGAAAGTCAACTAAATGCAAGAATAATTATTTCCCTAAATTGATCTGCATTCTCTCGCCCTTTTTGCCTTCCTTTAATAACGATTTTCACAAAGTTGAGAATGCATGTAACAATTATATTGCCGTTTATGTAAGGGTTGATATGTGTAGATTCAGTGTCAACCAAACTTATTGACGTTATGTAAGGAATAATATGTAAATTAAGAGTCAATCAAATATGAGAATAAACGAAACATCACTGAATTAAACTTGCATTCCTTCTTTTTTACCCAAGATGAAAGTAACAATTTCATAAAAGTGATTAGGAGTTAATGTGTAATTAAAGTGTAATTCACATACAAGAATAATTATTTACTTGATCACACCTAAATTTTCCTCGCCTTTTTGCCTAAGAAAACAACAAGAGCACAAAAACGAGTGTATCAATTTTCATTAAGGTTTATTTAGAGGTCGATTAAAGGCCATTTAAATACTAGAATGATATTACTTAGTCTTTACTTTTCTCTCCCCTTTTGCCTAAGAAGATAGAATATGTTTAAAGATCATTTTCACAAAAATTGAGAACGTATATGTACCAGTTTAATCACTTCTACTGGAATATCCGGCCCGGGTGCATTTATCTCGTAATTTATTCACGGTTACCTCAAATTCTCTTTTATCAAATGATTCCCTACGTCTTATCGGCACCTGGCCACACCTTTTGGAAACAGGTCCTCCACTGTTCTGTAGCCTTTCCCCTATGGTTCCGTATCCAGATCATGCATCCGTTTCTGCCATGCTTGATCCTTTACTAACCCTAATGCATTTTTTTAAATCCTTCCGTAAAGTTTTAAATCCTGACTCAAACCCATCCGTGTCGACTTGCGCTTTTTTCCTGGCGCTTTGAAATCGTCTTCTTGATTTAAGAAGTTTTCTCCTAGTGTTTGCCACTTTTTCTGTCCACCAGTATTTGGGAACTCGTCGTTAGCAATATTTTCTCGCAAGCCTTCTGTATTGCTGTCACCACTACCGATGCCGTCTACGTGGTTTAACTCTTTCCCAATTCCAAGCTCAAGTTTGTCTCTTACTTCTGGTTTATATTAAATCCACCCTCTTGCTCTAGCTAGAGAGACTGTGAACCTGAAATAAAGATTGCCGGTAGTCATAGTACAACTTCATCCAGTAAACGGATTTTACCATTTTCTTAAATGACATATACATATGTTACACATTGACGGATTAATCTGCAGATTAAAGGTTCAGATCCATTAAAGTGCGAAATTTCCTTTAAGCCACGCTATTGACATTTGTTTATCAATTTTGGGAAATTCCAATGTGTACCGATATTTTCCATGCAAAATTTAGTTCAAAATTTAATTTTGGTTCGCAATCAAAGTTTTTGATTTTGAGATTTAGGCCCGAAAAATGAGAATCTATACGAATAATATTATTAATGAATGAATAATTTCGTAAAAGATTTACATGATTTTTACATAAATTATATAAATTTGTTAAACCACGTCCTCCATCTTTTGTTTTAATATAAAGCCTTTCAACACAAGATTTAGGATGTACGTAATTATATTTTCTTAACATTCTTCTAGTTATTCTATCTAAATTATTTAACTCTGTATCAGACCATTTTAGAATTCCAAAGGAATAGGACAAAGTGGGAACTTCCCAAATATTTATAGCCGTTATTGTATTTCTAGAATTTAGTTTTGATTTTAACAAAGGTTTAAGTTTTTCAATATATTTTTGTTGAAATTCAATTTTAAGCTGTGAGTGATCCACAACAAAATTTTGTTTCATTCCTAAATATTTATAATGCATGTTAGGTAGTAATTGCGGAATTTCATTGACTATTTGTTGATTTATAGTCGGAGATCCTTTTATTATATTAATTTTAGCACATTTGTCAATTCCCAACTCCATACAGATATCTTCACTAATTTTTTTCGTTGTTTTTATTAAGTGGTCTAATTGACTTTCGGATCTAGAATATAATTTTAAGTCGTCCATGTACAACAAATGTGTAATATTAGACGTTTGTTTAAAATTTAGATTGAAACCAGCAGAGTCATTGAAACCATAATGGACTAAAAGAATCGCCTTGAAAAATGCCACGTTTAATATCAATTACTTTTAGAAGACGGATTCCGTTGACAATAATAATTGTACTCCACATAGACATCATACATGTCAAAGTATTAATAAATTGGTAATTAACTTTATAAATTTTTAGGATATCAAGGAGCCAGTTATGTGGAATCGAATCATATGCATTTTTGTAATCAATGTAACAAATATTTAAATTTCTTTTATTATGTTTTGCATATGCTGTAACAATAGTGTCAATTGCTAATTGTTCTCGACATCCCAATGTACCTTTGATACAGCCCTTTTGTTCAATACTTAAGTTTGATTCCTTTTACAATGGTTATTAATTTTGTGTCTAATTATTGAAATAAATAATTTGTAAATTGTCGGTAAACAAGTAATTGGACGGTAATTTTTTGGGTTTAAAGGATCTCCATTTTTTAAAAGAATGTAAGTTATACCAGTGCATAAAAATTTTCGGATTATGGATGGGTCATTAAGTGCTTTATTAAATCAAAATAATAAAGGTAAATGAGTAGTGATAAACTTCTTTAACCAATAATTTTGGATATGGTCTATTCCTGGTGCAGTCCAATTGGCACTAAATTTCAAAGTATTTATGAAATCATCTAAAGTTATTGAATTTTCTTCTACCCACGTCCAATTTTTTGAACTGTTTTTTAAATTATTTAGCCATTTTATCAACAGCATTCATTTTTAAGTTCTGCAATTTCAGCTAACAATTTTATAATGACGTTTCGTCTGTCAACAACGTTTTGTTCAGATAAATTAAAAACGCACTTAACGAGATAATTTGTCTGGATTTTAACGGTTTTCTGCACATGAACGGTAACATATAGACCAAAGTAATGAGCAGCTTACTATTTTAAAACCTCGACCATTATCATGCCAATATAGCAATAGATATTATTAACTAGCTGACTCGGCGAACTTCGTAGTGCCATAAAATTAATAAAGGGTGTTTTCAGAGGTTAGGTATATTAACTTTTTTATTTTGAGTGAAAATTTAGGTAGTAGTAAAGCATCATAATTTGTTTTTTTCCTGCATTTTTCGTATGTGTTTATTTCCTACGTGCTATTCCCATCAGCGAAGACAAATCCAACAAACCAAAAGTCATTAAAATCGGTACAGCCGTTAGCAGTTAGAACATCATTATCACATTTAGATCTTTCTGTTTTATATATAATCGGAAATTTTCCCATTTTCCGGTCAAATTTTTAATATCCTTTGTCCTTATTCCCAGGGAAGACTAATCTTAACTTATAAGATCACAAACACAATTCGGTCTTACTGTTTTATATATAGAAGTAATATAAATTTTCACCCAGGCTTTATAATTGTATAATGGACATACTTTTGACACCTGGACCACTCTGGGCTTTGGAAGCCAGAGCGTGTGTGAAGTCCTGGCCCTAGCAATTATTGCTTAGCCGTTTTAAAGTAGTTGCTTACAAGTCCTCAAAGTCATTCCAAATTAGTACCTACTCAGATACGTACACAACATACCTTAGTTTTATCAATAAGTTCTTTAATTTAGTTTAATTATTTTCAGGTTTTTCATCCGACACTGAAGCAGTGCATTATGGAAGATGATTATTTTAATTGTTATGCGGATAATGAAAACATGATAGAATCGCAATATTTTCAAGAGGTGAATGAATTGGGGAGTGATTTCTCCACCGTTGATCATTTTGGTATGCAGGATTACGAAACAGAACCGACTACTACGCACTTCGAATCTACATTGGAAAGTAGTTCATTTATAGAGCCCTACCATGCCCTAAACGGTCTTCAACAAGATCAAGTTCCGTTGTCGATGGTTGACAATATTTCAATGGATCGCATAGGAACTCAAATGTCGTTACTAACTAAATTAATTGGCACTCTTAGACCAACTACTATAACAGGACGCCCACTACAAAAAGTTTCTAACGGCGAGGTTTCGCCGATCGAATACGGCGCGGGACCGCAAAAGTTCATGCCATTACAACCCATTGCGATTTCACCAAGCTTCAGTTCTATAGAAAATAAGGTCGACTTAGTGTTGCCGCAAGTAAATAAATTAACTGCGCAACTAGTAATGCAAAATCCGATTGCTGAAAAACTATCCGATCTCCACGTTTTAAAAGAGACATCGGAAGTTTCGCCGCTTCTGTTTAACCCAAATACATCAAATTACTCTGATCCTCAGGACATTGTCACGTTTTTGTTTCGCAAATATCTAACTAACAAATATTTTATGAAGGACGGCGAATACATTAAAAGGAATTCGGCTGCTCCTGTCGTCACCTTCTACAACTCAATGCATCAAGCGTTGAGGGAGGATATTCATCAGAACACTACCGTCTCGACATACACCAATTCGAATTCCAGCAAGGAACTTTACGGAAAATCGTGTCTTAAAGGCATACGTTTACCAAATCCCCAAGACTGCACGCGTTACTTCCTTTGTAACGCATCAACAATATCATTTCAAAGTTACACTTGTCCCCCAAATATGGCATTCAATAAGACGAAACGTATATGCGATGTAAGGGAATATCAACGATGTAAGAAGGAAATTGAAGAAAATCGCGAAGTGGAAAAAATAGAAAATTACAATGAAATACCTTGTGATAGTTATATGTGTGGGGGATTGCAAAATTTCGACGTATCTAAGCATAACCAATTGAAATGCGTTGGAACCCTAAAATTTTGTACGAAAAAGCAGAAATGTCTCCCCTCAAATTTATGTTAAATTATGTTCGCCCACTCAAAACTGCTTTTTAATTTTAACGTCGACGGTCTTTATAAATTTATTTCGTAAGCTCTATGTAAGATATATAAATAAATTAAATCGTTCTTATATGCAATTTTAATCAAATTGGTAGCCATCTCGATCTTCACGATTTAACCAGGTGCTTAACAATTTAGTAGGTACACCACACAGGAATAGGAACGATTTTATTTTTTAACGTACACAGATTTAAAATTGTGTTTTTTATCACCTTGACAACTAAAGTTCTTGTTTTTCTAGGGTATACCGATTGTCGTTAATGGTCGCCACAATAACTACCTAATTATTGTAGTTCTTCCCTACTCGGGTTGTTAGAAGAGGAAAATGATCATCCGGTGCAGTTTTTTCCTTTTTCATCCCTCGCGTGTCTTCTGGTAGGTGTCAGACGATCAATGGCAACGTTAATACTTGATTGATTAATTCATGAGGCCTGGTTTAGGGTTGCTGAAGCGGCTTCTCTTAAGAAGGAGGATGTGCAAAAACTTCAGTTTTTCTATTTCGTGGATTGATTTCAAAGTCGATCGGTTATACAGGGTCCATGTGGAATATTCGCCATCAAAGAAAAATTTTCCCGGAATTCTGAGCTGGGTTCCATAAGTTAATTCTGCAAGCGAACATCGAAGATCTTCTTTGATACATCCCAGGTTATTGTTGTTGCACTGTATCTAATGAGCAAAGCTTTTTCATTTCTAGCTATGTTTCTCCACCATCCAACAGCCGTTGGTAAAGAAGAATCACTTCATTATTTTCCTGTTCAGCGGCGAGTGTTTCAGTGTCGATTACTGTAGGCGTGATAATTTCTTCGATTCTGGATAAGGCATCGGCTACGCCTTTTTCTTCAGTCGAAAAGATTTCCTTACATTGCTAGAGGTGATCGCTACCATTATATGAAACGAGCTAACACTTAAATTAAAAGACTGCTAAAGTGACAGCAGTTGCATTTAATTTGCATTGCACCGCTAGCATTCCAATTTCTCTAAAAGAATCTCTCGGTAGGGGGTGCCAAATGTGGTGATCAACGCTATTGAACTTTGATTTTTGATAATCTATGTATCGTTTCCAGTAGATTATGGACGTCTCAAGAGAAAGTCCTTAGATTCCAGAATTGGGGATGTTCGAAATTTGACGAATTACGCGTATTTGTGGATGTAAGTCGTTTATTCTGGAGCCGGATTTTGATATTGATTAAAGAAATGCATTGGTTACATTTCAAAAATGCACCAATCGTATTTCGTATATAAATTAACGGTTTGAGTTCGGTTTTATTTAGTCCTGAACTTTAGCTACGGGGTGTAATGGTATACAATTTGTGCAGTTTACTTTACGGATCTGTCACGAATGATCCTTTTGTTCCTCTTTTATGTTCGCATCTTCCCTTCAAGATCACGCCTTCTTAATGTACTATTTTTTCTTGTAGTATCCACGACTGTTTTGCATCCTCTACACTTTACATGAGTACCCGTACTTGTACTTGTTTAATTTACAGAGGACAGAAGGTACTATGCTTACGAGAAAGTGCACGATTTTAAGAAAACCCTGCATCTTGCTTGTATGGCGACTTCGTTCGTGTATAGAGCCAGGGTAGTGTCCCGTGTCTTCGGTATATCCCGAACGCACAGAGGAAACAGAAATGGCGAGAGCAAGGATCCCTGGGGTACTCCGAAGCCCTTTGAGCACACTCTGTGCCGATGTCGTTCGGTCCGGGCTCTTTCCTTGGGTTTGTTCTCTTAATGGCGTCGGAAACTTTTTCCTCGGCCATGGGCCGTAGCGCTCTTGCCATAGGGATCTCTTCACTCTTCGGTTGACGGCGTGAATAAAGTCCAGGTCCGCGTTTTCGTAGTTGGGAGAAAACTGACGTTCCAGGCACTCCGCGTAGGCGTCGGCATTCTCGGCGCCCGTATACACTAATCCTCCTACTCCGTGCGATGGGCACGATCTTGGTATGGAGCGGCGCAGCGCCCTTGCCATCTCCAGAGGGAGCAATCCTCCTCACTCAAGGATCGCAGGCCGTTTTCCCAAGACTCGTTTCTGAAGTAGCGGATGGCGGTCTTGAAGTTTTTGGAACGTGCAATCTCACGAACACCGGAAGCGCGCTTCTCCCGGATTAGGTTTCGAATCCAACCCGGAAGGCGGTAATCGTCTCGGCGCTCTCGAAACGACTTCGTCGCGTCTCGTAGGGCAGCCTGCGCGATTTTTACAAACTCGTCGGCCCCGGCTTCGTGGTTCGCGACGTTTTTGATTACCTTTGGATCGTCCGTCATCGTTTCGACTTCGAAAGGCGAGCCAAGACATACGCCTCATCTCGACTTCGTCTGCCGTGTTCGGCCCGATAACGCCCAGTTCTAGGAGAACGAGATTATGGGCCGGGTCCAGCTCTAACATCGTCGGGAGACGATAATGCAACGGCACATCTCTCAGGGCGGCGACGTCTAGTACTTCGGGACTGTATAGTGTGTGGGCTCGTCGAGTCCTGTCGGTCTTTTCCGCCTTCATCTTTTATGCAGGTTTCTACGCGAAGGCCCCGTATTGCCACCTTCAGAAGTTTCTCCTCTTGTAGGTTGTAGGTGTGGTAAGGCACCTGTAGCTCCTCAAAGAGTTTCGTGATACCCCGATGGTCATCTGCAGTTGGACCCGGATGCCGCCGAAGAGGTTTTTGGCCATGACAAAGGCCAGCTTCCTCTTGTTGCTGTGCAGAGTTATTGCCACCCTTGCGAAGGAAAACGGGGGAGACGCGTATTTCATTGAAGCTAAGAGGCCACTTAAAAGTCTAAAAACCTTTTATACTATAGGACTATATATGCGTTACGCACAGAGCTGGGCCGAATACTTTCAAAAAGGATTTGAATACTAAATAGTAAATACTTTACACAAATCAAAGGTATTTGAATACTAAATACTTTTACGTCCAGCACAAGCGAATACTAGATACAGATACATAGAAAAGTATTCAAATACTTAAAAAAATAAGTATTCAAATACTTTAGAATGTATTCGAATACTTTCAAAAGTATCCTAATACTATCAAAGGTATTCGAATACAGTAAAAAGTATTCAATTACTTGTCACTCAAATACATTAAAAATTTAAAATAGTATACTAGATAAAAGGCTTAATACTAATTAAAAAATCAAGTTATACTTTGTATGGGGTTAGCTTTTTTTATATGTCCATTGTTATATACAAATTTAAGGGGAGTAAAAGCGTATTATTATTATTATATTATTATATAGGAGGTACCTACCAGGACCTTTCTTATACCAGTTATATCCTTAAGAATACGTGTACTACCAGTTTTCAAAGCGATAGTACGTCGTGCACATGACACGAGAGTCCATAATTTCAAACAGTTTGAAGATTACTAGATCAAAAGTTACAGCCCTTTGAATTTTCTTTCGAAATTGGTTTCTAGTGTATAACATTTGATTGAGAAGTCTGATCGAAAAAGTACGAATTGTTTTGGATTCTACGCACCAAAAATAATAAGAAAAAGTGTTTTCCCGAGAAATTTTGGTGTAGTCGATTTTTGGTAAAAAAAGGAAGGTTAAACACTGCCTTTTTTTGAAGCCCGCAAAAAAAATGTCTCAAATCGACCCGGAAAACAAATTTTCTTATAGAATGTGGCCTGTAGAAACCATAATTTCAAACAGTTCCAAGATTGGGCTACTATTTCAAAAGTTACAGCCCTTTGAAATTTT